TGTGTAAAGACCAGCTTTAAACTGGCCCTACCCTGAGTCATTCTCACGATCTCCAGCACACTCAAGGCCCTTCTGGTAGTGACCGTGTCTGTCCATCTAGTGGTGGATCTTCCTCTCCCAGCATGATGTGTCTCTCCAAGAACTTGCTCCTCCTTAATATATGCCCGAGGGAAGTGAGATGAAGTTTCACCCACCTGGCTTCTAAAGAGCACCCTGGTTGCACTTTCTTCAAGTTAGATTTGTTTGTTCTTTACCAGCCTACTGTGCATTCAATATTAATTGCCAACACCATAATTCAAAGGCATCAATTCTTCTTCTGTTACCCTTATTTCTTGTCCAGCTTTCAGGTGCATTGGAAGCAAGTGGCTTGGATCAGGTGCACTTTGTCTTTAAACGGAATTTTTACTCTTTCTTGCTTTTGAGAGATCCTTGACAGCAGATTTTCCCAATGCAACACATCTTTTTATTTTTTCACTGCTGTAATTATGGGTGTTGATTGTGGATTTAAGTAAGAAGAAGTCATTGTCAGTTTCAATCTTTTTCTCCATCTATCTTGAAGTTACCTATTGGTCCAGTGGTGAGGATTTTTGTTTTCTTGGTGTTGAGATGTAGCCATTGTAGGCTGTAGTCTTCTATGGATAATAAATGAACATTATTTCCTACCATAGCAGCCCATGACTTGTCAGGGATTCAGTGTGGGGGCTCTGACAGTTGCTGAGTGTATCTGATCTGATTATTCACTCTGGAACTGGAGGATGGATTCAGTAGACTCACTGTGAGGTGAGCCTAACCTAAGACTCCACTAATAATCTCACCTTCATAGACCTTTACTCTGAAGGGTGGGCCGTGTCAAATGCTCCATGGGCAGAAACTATGCTTATCTTGTTCACTTTGTTCTCACTGAGCACCCACGCAGCCAAACCCCTGGCACATGAGAAATGTTCAATGTAATTTTTTCATTAAATGAGTGAATGGAAACTAGGGAGGAAATTGTGACCTCAACACAGTGACTACGGCAATGGACTTGAAAACATCAGGATGGTGAGAATGGTGCAGGACAGGGCAGGGTTCAGAAGCCTTGCTCATAGGGTCGCTGTGAGTCATAGCCGACTCCACAGCACCTAACAAGTATGAGAGTCATATGATTTAGAAGAGTCACGTGGCAGTGAGATGCATCATGCCCTAATAATAAGATCAGGGAGTTTCCTATTTTTTAACTCTATCAGCTGTTGCATTTGGATTGTAGCTCATCTTGCCTTCAGCTGGGTCCTCCAGAGAGGAAAAACTAGTGTGTGGGTGTGGGTGTGGGTGTGGGTGTGGGTGTGGGAGGGAGAGAGAGAGAGAAAGAGAGAGGGATTTATCTCAAGGAAATGGCTCATACAGTCAGTGATCTAGTCCATAGCAAGGTTCAGGACAAGTCTTTTTCCCACTCTGAGCCATCTCTGTCCTCACCTACACACAATGGGCTTGGGGCTTCAACATCACTAATAAGGCATTAGGCTTCTCCTGACTCACATAGCTACAGGGGTTTATGGATCTAAGACTAGCAGGTAAGACAATAGGCCGCTGGTTCAGTCTGTGAAGACCAACAAATCCTAAGAACCAGAGGTCTGGTGATGACAAGCTTGTGTAGGCTTCAAAGCAAGGTAGCAAGCTTTGCTGAAAAGGCCATGTAGGATGTAGGTCACACTCTTGAGGAAACTTCCGTTATTATTGATTGACTGGTCAAAGTAGATGATATCATGGGGATGATTACATCACCATGTAACTACCAAATCACTGAAAAACATGGTTAAGCCAAGTTGACATGTAACCTTAACCATTGTTGTTGTTGTGTACCATAGAGTCAGAACTGACCCATAGCTGACCCTCGGGCAGGTTTTTCTGAGGCAGTTAGTCGCATGGGAGGACCCATTAGAGGGGATAGAGCAGATAAAAAGCCTTGCATAATGGCGAGCAGAGACAAAAAGTGAAATCTTCTGATTACCACTTTAGCACTCTCTGAGCACTGATGCCAAATCTCTTGAAAGGTTAAGAAGTCCTACTTAAGGGTCACTATGGCCTTGTCAATGCTTCAGCCCCTCCCATTTCTTCCAGGCTTCTAGGAGAAAAGTCTGGAGCCACCTACTTACTCCTCCAGCAGTCTGGAGAAAATGTGACACACTAATCTTCAGACCTCCTGTTCCCCAGTGTTCCCGAAGGCGTCTAAAAGAAAGGAAGTATGTTGTTAAAGAAAGAGAGAGAAAGAGGGAGAGGGGGAAGGAGAAAGACAATCCCGCTTGTGTAACTCTTTGTATATATTGGAGTAGTGCTAACAGATCTGTGGTAGGAGACGTGTTAACAGAAATCCACAATTACGCCTCTTGGCTCCAGTAAAATCTTGGAGATATGTATAGGAGACAAGGGGGTATGGGGTTCCCATATCTGTCGCAGTGAGAGGTTATGAGGGGGGAAGTATTTGTAGGTTCAGTTAAGGGTGGGAGTAGGAGAGCTCTTGTTTACTCAGCTCTTCAGGGGAGAAGAGCATGGTTATATCAGAAAAGGAGAGATGTTGCAAATAAGTAGCCATGGCGTCTTTCCAGTTCACTCCTCAGTCATCACAGGATATGCCGTGTAAGATTCCCTCTTTAAAGATGGCGCCTCTCTGGACAACTTGAAACATAAATTGCTAGCAGGAACTGCTGAATTAGCTGAATTCTCTAGTGGTATATGTAGTTCTTAGGGAGTAGCCCTGCTAGCCTAAAAGCACCCCACTCTGCCAGTTGGAGTCCACCAGGGGCTCCTGGGGACAAAGATGGGCAGTTGCCTCCTGTACAACCTTGGAAAGCCATTGGAGGGTCAACTATGAGCCCGTGAACCCGTTCCAACTCAACAGCAATGAGATTTGAGTTTTTATCAGGTTATATTCCTTAGTCTTGTGATGAAGGCTGCGGAGGGCTACCTGCATCAGACTTTCTTGATCTGAACTGCTTCAGAGGAATAATACTTTGGTTCAACACATCATGTAAAGAGGAAAATGAAGTGAGAAACTAGGAAAATCTGTGCTTCAGAGAAAATCTAGCATTAATTCCGTTAACACATAACAGTTAAGATTTCCTTTCCTATTCACTGAATGGATCATCACAAGGTCATATCTATTACGTTATCAAATAGAGAATGACTCTCAGCTATATAGATTAGAAGTCAACCATTAGCAAGGGATTTCAGTTTGATAAAAAAAGTCTTCCTCGTAAATGTCCTTTGGGGCTATGAGGATAAAATGTTCCAGCCTGATTAAAGGGTCTCCTTTTTAATTGACCTTCTGAAGTAAAAATGGCGTATCTCCCTTTAAAAATATTATTAAAGAAATGTTCATTTTCTGTTACTTTCTTATCTGTTGTAAAGAGGCAAAGGGTGCACTAAGTGAAAAGGGAGGGATGTAACCTACATCCAGGTAAAAGAAGACGGATTGGAACCAGCAGGGACCTTGGTCACATGTAATTTTAGGAAAAGTAATTGACAAGAGGGAACACTGATAACCTGGACCATAGGGGTGGGGGAGTTACGCTGCTAACCCCAAATCCTCACCTCTCTCGTAGTTTTAATCTACCCGTCATTCTGAGGGAGAAGGCTGAGTAATCCTCTCGAGTGAGATTTACATCCTGGTCAACTCATTGGCGGGTCAGCTATGAGTCAGTTCCAACTCAACAGTGATGAGGATTTTGGCTTTTCCCTTTCTTCTCCCCTCTCCCCCCACTAGATCACTCACTTTCTAGATGTGAGAATGTCCTCTGTCATTAGAGAGGGGTTGACCAGGGTTCTTTGCCACTCCTTGGCACTTAAAATGCAGTCTGCAGGCTCTTTGGGCTCCAATGAGCCCATGTTTTGTGCAGGAATTGCCCCTTCACATTTAAGTGACTCTGAGAGCAGAGTTTGAGGAGGCTTTTCCCCCCCACTCTGTGCCACCCACATCCTTACCTGCACACAACACTGTACCCCCTTAGTCAGTATTTGTGACCATAACACCTTTCTGAGGGGAGAAGTTTTGTCTCTTAGGAACATTTATTGAGCTAATTTGGTGCCCATTCTAACCTGAACCTCTGTTTAGTTCACTGAGGCCTTTGGCTATCTCTGAATGTTTAGCTGGCTTATCCCCACCTCCCCTAAGAAACGTTAACGTTTATAAGCTTCAAACACACTATCTTTCCTCCTCAGAGGTCTTTTTGTCCCTCATAATAAAAAAAGGTTCCACCCTGTATCTGCAACTGCCAGAGCGTTTTACTCATCCTCTCCCTCCAAAAGCCTTTTGGAGGCTGGTGGGGCTTAGCCCAAAGAACTGAATTTACTGCTGGACAACAGCAGCATTCGGCTATAAAATTACCATACAGCTGAAGGCACAGTATGCTGGGGCCCCTGAGAATTCCTCATCTTCTGTCCTGTTGTCCTCCTGGTTTGTAAATGAGTATGTTGGGTTGGTGAAAGGTGTGGGGAATGAGAGAAGCTGACAACTCACAGGGCAACCCCCTTCTCTCTTCAGTTTAAATTCTTTTTCTGATATATTCAGACTTCTTAGAAGTAAGGTTAGACTATAGAGTCCTATGTCGTTTGCCGACAGTCTCTCAAATAAAGCGTTAGAGGATGCAAGCTTTTATTTCCAAGTTTCCCAAAATAGGATTTGTGCTGCATGGTTTGGGGGTAGTGAGACTTAAAGACTGGGGTATCCCCAGAAGTAACACCTTCCCCTTGGAGTTACAGGCTGCTGGGGTCTTCCAGGGAGGAAAAGCCTCCCTGAGCTACATTTAGGCCTCAGCTACCAGTTCAGATCAGGTAGCAACTGTCATTTAAACAATTGTGCTAGAATGATCACCTCTTACCCTTGTAAAACTGTGTGTCCATCGCTGTTCTAACTGTTTCTCTTTGTCTATATTTGAATCCTTTTTCTAGAGATCCAGTTGTCATCGGTATCCAGAGAGCCCTCCTTTTCCTCCTCCTTCTGCCGCCGCTCTACCACCACCACAGTTGCTGGTTGTTGCTAAGATTGCCTCCATAGTAACATCCACATCCTGTTTACACCTCAATATGGCTGAGGCTGTCTGAAGTAGGAACCTACCTATCCTGGACAACCACTTCCATCACCACTTGGGGACGCCAATCATCGTGACACGTGGTCCGGCTTCTACTCCCTTCCCCCATTCTCTTCCTGCCCTGGCTGCCACACTTCATATACAAGAGAGGATCAGGGCTTGGAGCTGCTGCTCTGAAGTTTATTGCACAAGATACAGCTGGTCTGATTCCTAACTGGGTCCCAAAAGAAGCAAGAAGCAAGGGGCAAGAAGGCAAAAGGCCCCTGCTCAGTTGAAGGAAAACTCTTCTCTGGTTGAGGGGCTTGTTGACAGCAGGCAGAATGACGAACCCAGCAGAACATGCCTTGGTGGCCAACTCAATGGTTGACAGCCGTGAAGGGGACTTTGGCTGCACAGTAATGGACCTGAGGAAGCTCATGGAGCTGCGTTCGAATGATGCAATGAACCAGATCCGCAACCACTATGGAGATGTACAGAATATCTGCAGTAGACTAAAAACATCCCCTGTGGAAGGTAAAAACTTTTTCATGAATGGGGGACTAGGGGAAAGTAGCTTGTGCCTTAAAGTGTTGTTTTTCCAGATTCTAGAGAAGCCCCATTTCTGGAGGTGCTTTAGAAACATCTGTATCCTCTAGGGGAAGTATAGCATCTGGTACTCTCTGTGTGTCGTTCTTTCCTCCTTTTTCTGTACCAGTGTACCAGAAATAGGGCTTCTTTTACAATCTGCCTTGTATAAATGTTTATGGCAGAAATGTTTTTATCAGTAATCTTTAAATCCCTTGTTCTGTTTTATGGAGCTCTGGTGGTATAGTCTGTAAGGAGTCGCACTGCCAATCCAAAGGCTGTACCTCTCTGGCAGTTTGAAATCCACCAGGAGAAACATAGGCAATCTCCTTCCTGTGCTATTTACAGCATCTCCAAAGGAGGGGCAGCAATGAGTCAGTTCTGACTCTATGGCAATGGTTTTTTTATTCTGTTTCAATCTTCGTTCACAAAAGAGTGTTATGTACCATGAAACCTGTGAGAGCCAGAACTTGATGGGACTGCCTTGTTTTTCCAGGTCTCCCAAGTTTTCCACCTTTAACAGGGTGTAGTTTTTCCACTCTTCTGTTGCTTGTTTTAACAGTAAATGTTTGCGGTTTGAAACTACCAGCTGCTCCACGGGAGAAGGCTGAGGCAGTCTACTCTCATAAAGTTTTATAGCTTCAGGAATGCTATGGGCAGATCGACTGTGTTCTCTAGGGACCCTGTGGGTCAGAGTCAACTTGACAGCAGTGAGTTTGGGGTTTTCTGCTGTCATTGTTTTTTAGGTGGATTTCCCCCACACCCTGCCTTCTCTGACAAGTTTCTGTGTTACACAGCTTCCAGCTTTCGCCATGTTTTTGCATAATTCCTTTTCTTGTGCATTTTACAATGGAATGAGTGAAGGAACAGGTATAAAAGTAAATAAGTTTATCTACCCAATATAGAGATAGATCTGGTGGCCCATTCGTAAGACATTGCACTATCAACCCTAAAACATGCAGTTCAAATCCACGAGCTGCTCCATGAGAAATAGATGGGAAATATACTCCTGTGTGATTAAAAGCCTCTGAAAATCTACTGCAGTGCCAACTATGAATGGGTTCCGACTCAACAGTGTACAACAACAACGCAATGTAGAGCTTCATTAGGTATGTCATTAAAAAGGAAATTGTAAATCATTAAGAATAGAATTGTGCCCATCATTAGCTTTGGGTCATTCTGGTGTCTGTCAGTCAGGGCATTATTTTCAACCTTGACTGGGCACTTTTAATATAGTTCTTCTTAACCTGTTCTTTCAAGAAAATAACATATCCACTTTGATGCTTACCTAGCTCTATCCATTTACCATTGCCTAATGAATGATCCATGACACAGTGACTGCTGCATTGAGCTTGTGTGTGTCAGGAAGTGTGAGATGGCGCAAAACCGGACTGGGTTCAGAGCTTTTGTTCATAGGGTCGCTGTGAGTCGTACTCAAGGACACCTAACAACAACAGCAACTACAAATAATCCATGGAAAGAGAGGTCTGGTGGCGTAGTTGTTGGCGAGCTGTGCTGCTAACCTAAAGGGTACATTTCTGATAGTTAAAATACATCAGCCATTTTTTTTGTGGGGGGAGATGGACAGTCTCCTTTTATATGGTTTATAACCCCCAGAAACCCACTGGGAAGCGGTCAACTATAAGTCTGTCTCTTCCTACTTGACAGCAATGGACTTGAGTGAATAAGCCATGGTAAATAGTACATTGGTCAAAATACAGTAAGAACATAAGAAACCCGGCTTTCTTACTTAAGCTTTGTTTCAGCATCTCTGTTACAGATTCTTGCTTGGCTTTACAGGTCAGGTTGTAGCATGCGATGGAGCAAAGATTCTATTTTAAAGGGCTCGGCCACTTGAGTTACTATTTCTGAGCTTTCCTTAAAGGTTATCCATTTCTTCCTGATTCTAAGAAGAGATTTTGACCCACTTGTTATGTTATGTGCTATTGAGTTGTGTGCAACCCATAATGACCCTATGTACAGCAGCTCTGAATCCTGCCCTGTCTTAAACCAGTCACTAATTCCAACACCCCAACCTCCATGGCCCCAGTTACTGACTATATCAATCCATCTCATCTGGGGCCTTCCTCTCCTGTGCTGTCCCTCCACCCTTCCAAACATGATGTCCTTCTCTAAGGACCAGTCCCTCCTGGCCATATGCCCAAAGTATGTGAGATGGAGCTTCAAAATCCTTGCCTCCAAGGAGAAACTTGGTTTCACCTGCTCAAAGACAGACTTACTAGCTGATGCTTTATTGTAAATTATCGATTTGGAGATAAGACTCTTTAGGATGAAAAAGAGATTTTTACATAGTTATACATACCTATTCAATGCCTTTTTTTCCTTTGTAATCTTTTGGAACTACCCTGTTTGTTCACCTTACCTCTACCACTGTTCCATTTCCTATCTCAGATGTTTTGAGTTCAAATACTGGCCCTTCAAGTTCTTGTTGTCATTGTTATGTGCCATCGAGTGGACCATGACTCATAGCACAATAGCTCTGAAACCTGCCCTGTCCTGAGTCAATTTCACTGTGTTCAGCACACCTATCCCTATTGCCCTAGTCACTGTGTCAATGCGTCTCATGCAGAGTCTTCCTCTCCTGCTCTGTACCTCCTCCCTTCCAAATATGATGTCCTTCTCCAAGGACTGGTCCCTCCTGGCCACATGCCCAAAGTATGTGAGACAGAGCTTTAAAATCCTTGCCTCCAAGCAACAACTTGGTTTCACCCTCTTCAGGACAGACCTGTTTGTCTCTGCCAGTTACTAGCTGACAAATATTGAACTGTTTACTGAATCTCTCTTAGCCTGTGTTTAATGTTGATAATATGTAGCCAATGGAGTAACTCAAATAAAAACCAAACTGCTGCTTGCCAAGTGGATTCAAACTTATACCCATCTTATAGGAGAATAGAGCTGCCTCATAGGGTTTCCAAGGCTGTCGTCTTTACAGGAGGTTACTACCGTATGTTCCTTCCACAGAGTGGCTGGTGGCTTTGAATTGCCAGCCCATTGCTTAACCACTGCACCACTAGACCATAAAGTTACTGAGATGAGTAACACAAAAATTAGTACAGTGTCCAAACATATGATATTGTTGTTGAGTACCGTCGAGTTGGAATCAACCCATAGCTGACCCTCCAGGGGGTTTTCAGAGGCTGTTAATCACATGGGGAGGAGATTGCTCATCCTTCTTGCATGAAAGAATCTAGCTGGTGGATTCAAATCACATGGCTTTGAGATTGCAGTGTAGTTTCTTACCACATGGCCACCAGAGCTCCCTAAACACATAACAGGTATGCAATAAGTTGATTGTCTTCTATTAGAACAGAGCCCATGTATCTGAAGCTGTTTGTCAGCATACGAGTACTTAGGAGTGCAGTGGACTATTATGTCTGCTGGGGATACTGCCTGTATAACGGCTTCCACACCCCATTTTCCTACTTAAGCTCTTCATCTCAAAAAGAATCATGCTTAAGATGACAAGACATGTTTGCTCTCATGCCCCTTATAAGGTTCAGTCCTTGCCTTCTGACTAGTTGTTATCGGCTGTCTTTTGTGCACTATCTACTTCTCAGCAGCGAGGTTTCTTTATCTTGCCATTTTTCTCTCAGCATTGCCCATAAAGAGAGGCCAGTTGTATGATGGAATTCCTAAGTTCATCAATTGATTACTAACCAAAAGGTTGGCAGTTGGAATCTACCCAGAAAACCTTGGCAACTGACTTCCAAAAGGTCATGGCCGTCAAAAACCCTGCAGAGCACACTTCTCTCTGAAACACATAGGTGGCCATTATGTCGGTGGAGTCAGCTCAACAACAACTCATTTTACTGGATTCCTGTTTTGTGTTGATTGAAATAATGGCAGTACTTTTAAAACACTCATCTGGATCTAAATAAGCTTTTTTTAGTTCTGAAAGCTCAAATTCCTATTCTGAGCTTGATCTTGTGGGACCATTTTCCACCCTCAAAATGAACTTCAGGAGTCCAGATAAGCTGGAAGCTCTGGCGCACCTAATGTTGTTGTTAGATGCCCTTGAACCAAGTACAGCTTGTAGTGATCCTATGAAAGATGCGAACCCTCTCCTCTCCTGTGTTATCCTCACAGTCTCTGCAATCTCTGCCACACTTGCACTGCAGTCACGGTCTCAGTCCATCTGGAGCATCTACTAACAGCCTCCTACTCCTGCCCTTTCCAAATCCTTTCCCATAGCTGTTACTGTGTTGCTTTCTGATCCCCAAGCTTCTATTCCCATCAACCACACAGGAGGAGACTGCCTGTCTTTCCCCATGGAGCCACTCATGAATTTGAACTGCTAGAGAGACTAGGTCTTTGAGTTTTTGTCTTTGTCATTGTTGTCAAATGTGAATTGACTACTAGCTGATCCTCTCCTGGGTTTCTGAGGCTGTAAGTTGCATGAAAAGCAGTATCTGCTAGTCTAAGAGGGACATCATGCTTGGAAGGGTGATAGAACAGCACAGAAGAGGAAAACCCAGGATGAGATGGATTGACTCAATGACCAGAGCTATGGGACTAGATCTGTCAGAGAAAATGAGATTGGTTCAGGATAGGGCAGGTTGTTTTGTTTTGTTTTTTGTTTTTGTTTTTCAATTTCATTTAGTTTGTTCATTTTTCATTTCAATGAACATCTACAGAGATTTTTGGAATTCCATTCATTCATTGTTGCACCCTTCTCCCCGCACACCCCCTCCCCCCCCCCGCCCCCCGTTTCTCTTCTCCTTGGAAAACAAAAAAAAAACTCCCTCATTGGTACACAATCCCCCCGCCCCCCCCCAAACCCCACCCCCCACCCCCAAATATAATCCACTCTGCAACCCTCATTGCGTACTCCTACGATAAAAATAATGCCCTAAAATAGAATAATTTTAGACTATTCTCTCCCCCATAGACTTCAATGCCATAAACATATTTCATCCAGTTTTTCTCAG